TGGCGTCATCTTGAATCCCTAATTTTTATTTACCCAACATATCCAATCTGCACCAACTTTTGTTGCCTCTACTCTAATGAGTAAATGTAAAAAAGATAGACTGGGGTACAGACTCATAGCCAGATCAGTTTATTAACCAGTGACGTGGATAACTGTTAACAAAGTGGGTCATGCTGGTCACTTCAGCAAAGCCAGTAACCCCAGTGAGAAGGGGATCACTGTTTTTATTGACATGCAGCAGAGAAGTGGGTCATTTTGGAACATTACAATTGGCTATCCTAAGAAAAGTGGGCTGCTATTTAGGTAAAGCTAATCATGTCATTCTGACAGTTAAGTTAATTGTTTTGTGTGACTCATCTGCCTCTTGTAATCTTTGCTAGGAGATCAGTACTACCAGGCTTGCTGTCCCCTTGGAGAAGATCAAATCTCCCCTAATTACACAAGGACAGGCAAGGACAGATCACATATCTTTTTGGGGAATGGCACCAGGTTAAGCTGGTTAAAGCTTAGAGACAACAAGCAGATGTCCCAGAAACTAATGGTATGAGTCATAAGAACCTTTTCTTTTAATTATGCCTTTAAACTAACTCTGAGGGAAAACTGGATTCCTGAGCAAGGTGAGTTCAGGCAGATACTAACTCAATTATAAAAAATCAATGCCACATAAAATCAATTACATTGTAAAATCAATACAGCAGAAATCAGAGCTAACAATAATTTTGATCTTTTCACACTGCCTTTATAACATCTCTTGAATACACACACTCTCTTTCAGTGGGAGATTTCTTGTAACAAAGTAAAACAATTAAATGAAACTAATAACACAATGATGTCTAAAAATGAATACAACATTCCACATATATAATGAACATGCTGAGATGAACTGGAAGTCAGCTGACAGATGTGAGTAGGTTAGGTCAATTTGAGAATCATCAGCATAGAGATGATAATAAGCAGCTCATGGGAGCTGATGAGATCACCAAGTGAAGTAGTATAGACGGAGAAGAGAAAAAGGTCCAGGACAAAGCCTTGGGGGACATGTATGGTTAGAGGGTGTGACCTAGAAAAGGATCCAGGAAATGAGACTGAGAAGTGGTCAGATAGGTAGGAAGAGAACGAAGAGAGGGTAGACAATTGAAATTTCTTCTGCTTCTCCTCCTTCTCCTTCTCCTTCTCCTTCTCTTTCTCTTTCTTCTTCTCCTCCTTCTTCTCCTTCTTCTCCTTCTCCTCCTCCTTCTCCTCCTTCTTCTCCTTCTTCTTCTTCTTTTCCTTCTCCTCCTTCTCCTTCTCCTGCACCTCCTCCTCCTCCTCCTACTCTTCCTCCTCCTCCTTCTTCTTTGCCATGTACCTGCCCCAGGAAGATAGTTTCAAGGACAAGAGGGCAATTAACAGTATCAAAGGTGACAGAGAGATCAAGAAAGATGAGCATCAAGAAAAGGCCATTTAGAAAGGGCCATTACATTTGGCAATTAATAGATTACATAACTTTGTGGAGAGCAGTTTCGGTTGAATTGATGAGGTGGGAAGCTAGATTAGGATTAGAAGGAGGATCATAGGATCATCATCTTAGAGCAGAGAGAAACCTCACCGACCTTTAAGTCCAAATCTCTCATTTTACAGATGAGGAAACAGACCTTAAAGGAAGAAATGACTTCGATTTGACAATAAATGACAAATGATTTGAGCTCTAGTCTTTCTGACCCTCAGTCCCAGGGCTCTATCCACTATGCTAAGGATTGGAGAGTAGAATTTCAAGAGATTGGTGGATGGGACAAATGGGTGAAAAAATAAATGGGTGAAGAATGGGTGACAAATGGGTGAAAAAAATAAATAGGCTAAAAGGTGGGAGTGTTGAGACAAAGGAAATGAAATTATGTAAGGTTGTCAAGTTACTGAAAAGTGATAATGAGCTCTAAATAGTCTTAGCCATATTCTTAGGGTTGAAGTTGTAAATATTTATATGTAGTTTCAAGAAATGAGGCTGAAAATCTCAACTGTTACAGAGAATCGAGGAAATTTTGCAGAGACTTGTTACTTATGCTCAAAGTGTAAGCTGATTTTCCTAGGGAGAAGGCAGAGGGACTCGCAGTTTGCCTCTCTGTACTCGGTTGCTAGGGAAAATGAATCTCCATTAAACTTAGCAACATGGATGACAATAGCTTCCCACTTTTGGTGATTCACAATGACACACAATCAGAAGGAAATTCGCTTGTATTTGAGCATTAAAAAAATCAAGTTTGCGAGTCTGAGATAGAGGAAGAATAGATAGGTAGAGGTCAGTTGCTTTGAAAAGGATCTAGGCATTTCAGTGGTTGACAAGGTCAATATGAGTCAGCAGTATGATGTGGCAACTGAAAAACTAATAAAATCTGGGGCTATATTAAAAGAAGCAGAGCATCTAAGAATAGGGAGATAATTCCACTGCTCTCTATGCTGTTCAGATCTCCGTTTTGGGTGCCATGATAATAGCCTTAAGCTATTAAGGACATCGAAAAGCCAGAGATTATCAGAGGAAGGCAACTAGGGTAGTGAAGGGCTTTGAGTCCATAACATTGTGAAGTTTGGCTTAAGGAACTATGCATGTTTAGAAAAAATTCCAGGGGGGGGGACACGTGATGGCTGCCTTTAAGTGTATTTGAAAGATTATAGTGTGGAACAGGGATCAGGGTTCTTTTTGGCCTCAAAGGGCCAAACCAGGAACAACGGGAAAAGAGGTAAATTTAACAATGAGAGCAGGGCCCAAGGAGAAGGGGCTGCCTCAAGGGTAGAGGGGATCCCCCTTCTTGTAGGTTTTCAAGCACATGCCTGGAAGACCAGGTATGTTTTGGGGTATGTTATAGTGGACGTCCTTTGGTTTGTGCATTGGACTACATCACTACCAGAGTCCCTTCTAACTCTCCAATTCTGTACTTTTGCAATTCTGTACTCAAGTCTAGGGTCATTGGAGGGAAGACACTGTATGTACAAAATGAGGCTCAGGGATGAGAAAGAGCAATTCAACAGCCTGCTGGTCCCAAGGGGACCATACCTTGGAGTATGGAGAGGCCATACCTTGAAATGGCAAGTGATCTCACTACATGGAGTAGACCAGGGAGTGAATAGTGAGAAGAAAGAAGCCAGAGGAGAAGCTACAGACTAGAATGAGGTGGAAAAGCCTGGAGATGGACATCCACAGACAGAGTTGAAGAAGCCGTCACATGCCACTATAGATATAAAGACACTCCCTCCCCTCAGCTTCTACAGATTCATTGTGGGGAAACTTCCAGACATAATAAAATATTCTTTAAACACTATGGCCCTTACTATGAGGTATGTGTGGGGAAGACGCAGGGATGAATCTTGATTTATCACTGCATAGGAAGACTGAAGGGTTAAGGTGGTGGGCAGAGATAGGAACTCCAAGACTGTGCATCCATCCAGCAAGAATGAGCATTCCCACAGAGGGATTCTGGCATCCAGGGACCACAAGAACAGAGCCTAGACAGATACTATATCTAAATGGTGTGCTTCTGAGATCTTAGACGTCTCCACATAGGAAAAGTGAAAGCTTGAGGGTGGAGGGTAGTAGGCAATCTCAGGGAACCTAGAAGCAGACAGAGTGTGAGTTGGTTTGAGAGCCAGAACCCGTATTTCTTGCTACTGAATCCAAGTTGCTGATTCTTGGCTGGATATTCCTAGTTTGTGGTTCTTGGATTTATACTCAGTAACATTCTATTGTCTCAACTGGACTTCCCAGTCTGATTCCCTTGGTAAGGACCCTGGTTTGAAGTCGATTCTATTCCCCCAATGTCAAACTATGGCAAAACCATGTGTTACATACAACAAAAAGCTGTCATCATCAATTAACCATTCCAGACACTGACTGCTTAGAATGTAGCCAGCTCTAGGTCTGCAGCTAGATTAGGAGGCTAACTTCAGAGAGTCAAAAATTCCCAGTATTGTGTGAGATTTTGAGGGTTTTGCCAAGTTGGGTCATGTTGGCTTCCTGGAAAGGATTACTGCATGAAGAAGAACATGAAGAAGAGTTGCCTTTTTGGCCCGAGATCTTTTACTTGCTTCTTAAAGTCAGGGTCAGTCATGGCTCTAAATGCCATTACATTACACAAATCCTAACTGTCCTTTGAGGACTAGCTCTAGATCCATTTATTCCATGAAGCTTCCTTGACCTCTTTCAAACCATAATGATCTCCTTCCTCTGAACTTGTATGACACTTATCTCTACCACTCTCTCTCTCTCTCTCTCTTTTTTTTAGGCAATTAAGGTTAAGTGACTTGCCCAGGGTTACACAGTTAGTAAGTGTCAAGTGTTTGGTCTGAGGCTGGATTTGAACTCGGGTCCTGTTGATTTCAGGGCCAGTGCTCTATCCACTGCGCCACCTAGCTGCCCCCTCTACCACTCCTTTTAATACTTAGATGTCAACACATGTGTTCCAACAAAAAGTAGCATAATATAAGTAAGTACTGGACCTGGGATTAGGAGAGATGCTGCTTTGAAACTTATTATTTTTATGACCTTGGCATGCCACTGAATCTCTATGCCTCAATTCTGTAAAATGGGGATACTAACTGCACTATCTACCTCATAAAGTTTTGGGGAGTGAAAACACTTTACAAATATTAAATAAGTTATTGCTAATACTGAATTTTTACATGCTTTATTTTCTCAATTAGACTGGGAGCTACAGGAAGGCAGAATCTTTACTTCACAGTAGGTGCTAAATGAATGTGCTGACTGATGACTGATATAAATGTCTGATTTAAAAAGTAACCAATTTTCATGAATTTCAATTTACTATTATATAGCATAAGCTCACACTTTAGACTTTTAGTTCTGTTGTTAAATAATAGAGAAAACATCGAATCTCATTGAAACTTTGGATGTCATAAAATAGATTGTAGTAATTACCTTGAAAAATTTTGACCTCTTCATAAGAAAGTTCTTACGGTTTATCTAGTAGAATCATTAGTTCACATCTTCCCCCAAGATAAAAATACTTAACCTATAAAAACTTGGTGAATAGTGCTATTTGTTGCCGTTGTCAGATCTATGCTTCCAAGATATGTCCGCAGAAATCCATTCTCTGAATAATTTTGGTAGCTATAGTGGACATGTTTGTCATCCCATATCACAAAATTTGGCAATGCTGAATACATGAATAGTGCACCCAATTTTTTCCCACTAGGCAAAGACAATGAAAAGTCTTGTAAACGCCATTCAGTTGAATCCTCGTCATAGAACACTAAATACAGCGAATCATAATTATTATGTGTAGTCGTGCCTAACAACAAAGCAACACCAGTTGGGTCTGAGGTATAAGTAGCAAGACGTATAGAAAATCCTCTCCATAACTCCTCTTTCAGATTCAGAATTTTCATGAGGTCTCCAAGTGTTGTTAATAAGTAAAATTTTAAGCGAGAATATCCAAGGAAGACTTCATTTGTTGTCCACACTATTATCTGACTCAATTCTAGTCCTTCCTGCAACAAAATTAAAATAATGATCACAGTAAGGGATTTTAGATATTGTTATAATTATTGTCTTCTCAATTTTATTGTCTTTTAAGTTTTAGAGTTATTTTTAATTAAGCAATTATTATGGTCTACATTTTTTCCCCTTTTTTTGGTGAGGCAACTGGGGTTAAGTGACTTGCCCAGGGTCACATAGCTAGTAAGTGTCAGGTGTCTGAGGCCTGATTGGAACTCAGGTCCTCCTGACTTCAAGGCCAAAGCTGTATCCACTGTGCCACCTAGCTGCTGCTCTATTAACGGTCTGCATTTTAAAATATTTCGGTATACCAGAGATATGTGATTTCATCCTATTCCTGACACTTACTAGCTGTGGGATCATGGGGAGGTCACTTAACTTTCCTGATCTCTGTTACCTCATTTACAAAATGGGGACAACATCTTCAGTAGCTGCCTTCCTCAATGGTTATTGTGAGTAGCAAATAAAAAAAATTCAGTTAGCCCTTCCACCTCACAGGGGTGAGGGGTGAGGCATTCTGGAAAATCCACATAAAATTTTTTGTCCCTCCCTTCAAACTAGAAAAGAAGTCTGAATTATTATGGTATTAACTGATAAAATATGTTGATATTATACAATACCATACATATATTTTACGCATTTCTGAGTTGCTAACTTTTTCTGTGCTGTCTGCTGGCCTTTGCTTGTTCTCTGTGGTCTCTACAAAACTCCTCCAAAATTCCAATTTAATTTCTTTTACTGACCTGTGATATATCAAAACTGTGCTGGGGAACATCACAGTGTGGAAGGGATGACTGCTGTATATGTAAAATGCTTTGTTAAACTTAAACCACTCTATATCAGCTATTATAATTTCCAGCCATCTTAATCTGTTAGGTTTCCCTCTACTAATGCAGATTCCAATCTCTCTATGGCTTAGTGAAGGACCTTTGAGATTTCCCATGACTACAGCATTCATTCTCTTGCAACCAGTCTGGTGACAGGTCTCCCTGTACTTGGCTAATAGATGTACCATTCATCACTTAGCTCATGCATGATGCCTTCCCACATTTATGGGCCCTGCCAAACCTTGTGATTAGTTGGCATAGTCATTAAGAACTTGGCTGTGGTCACGTCCATGCCACAGTGAGGCCCTAGGGCAGACTTTTAGAACAAACAAATTAAAATTAACAATTATAAAATTTTTATGCTAGTTTGGTTTAGTTCTGAAAAACCAATCTGAGGCACAGGCCTAAAAATAAGGCTAAAAAGTTTTAAGTATGAGTTTTTTTTTTAACAGACTAGATATTGGTTTTTTTCTTCACGTGCTATATATAATTTCCATCTGCAGCAACGACAATAGTTTCGACTCTTTTTTCAAACCAAGCTGGACATCAGCCTTCTCTCTTGGCTCTGCATTTTACCCCTTGGTCAGGAGTGACACTTGCAACCTGGGGCCAAGCACAGTCACTTTGTGGGGATACCTAAATATTGGGTTGTCTCTGGAGAACCAGGACCCATAAACATTCAGCAAAACAAACAAGCAGGGCAGAGTCTAGGCAGAGAGTAGCTTATAGTAAGAGAGATGGGGAATTTATGGGACTTACCCAAGGTTCATGTTCTGGCCCCAACTTTATCTACAACCCTATCTTAATGGGCTGGAAGAGAGCAAGGTGAGGATAGTGCATTATTTGATACAACCTAGTATATGTTCAATTTAATATGCGTCCTTTCTTATTGTGAAACCTGGAGCAACTAAATTACATTAAATTAAACTAAACTAAAGCATCAACTAACTGCTTCTAGAGTAACAGTACAATATGGCATCTGAGACTCTACCAAGGAACAGCCACACCACGGAGAAATACAGAATCACAGAAATTGGAGTAGGAAGGGACTTAAGCAGTAGTCTAGGGCAACTCATGCCTGAAAAGAAATCCCCATTACAATTTACTCAACAAGCTGTTATCCAACCTCTACCAGAAGACTTCCAATGAAGTAGAATCCACTACTTCTTAAAGTAATCCATTCCACTTTTGGGCAGCTCTCATGGTTAGGAAGTTTGTCCTGATATCAAGTCTGCATTTGCTTTTTGTACATCCTTGACTCCCAGTTTTGCTCTCCGGGGCCAAACAGATAATTAGAAAATTCGTTTGGAGAAATCAAGGCTATTCCTTCTCTTTCATATGACAACTTGGCTATCCTTGCCCATTGCAAGCACACTTTCTTTTGTGATGCTTGACAGTCATCTTGTTAATGATACATTCTAGAATTTCCTGAGGAATCAAAGTAGAGTTCACTGGCTCATAATTAACAGACTTTGTTCTCTTCCTCTCCCTCCTTAAAAAAAAATAAAATTAAGATATTTGCACTTCTTTATCTCCATGGCACATCCCTTGTTTTACAAAATCTTTCATATATTACTGACAAAATCTCAAAAATTACGTTTGCAAGTTCTTGCAGTAACTGAGAATATAGGTAACTTGAATTGATCAAAGGCAACTCCTTCACCAAAGGGATGCTCCCTCACTAAACCTTATTTACTTGGGGCATCGACTCCTTGTTAACCATTTCAGTAATTTTTACTGCAAAGACTATTCTCTATGATTGTGGTGAGGCTCAAATGAAATAATATTTGTAAAGCTTAGTGCAGTGCTTGGCACATAGTAGACACACAATAAATGCTTATTTCTCGTCTTACTTTTTTGGCCAAGAATATGGAAACAGAATATTGAGCAGCTCTGCTTTCTCTTTGTGGTTAGTTATTATTAAGCCATCCACTCCAAGCAAATTATAAAAGTCCTTTCTATATCCGTCTTCTTTTCCTTTGAGGGATGAAACTATCACTAAAACAAGTTATTAGGGGCAGCTAGGTGGTGCGGTGAAAAGAGCTCTAGCCTTGGAGTCAAAGGACCTGAGTTCAAATGTAACCTCAGACACATAACACTTACTAGCTATGTGACCCTGGGCAAGTCATTTAACCCTGACTGCCTCACCAAAAAGCGAAAAAACAACCCCCCCCCAAAAAAAACAAGTTATTAGTTGCTTTGAAGGACATCTGGGGAAAGATCCACTTGATGGGCATTTATTAAGTTCTATGGTAAATGCTGGCAAAAGAAAAGAAAAAAATATAGTCCCTGCCCTCAAGAAGCTTACATTCAATTGTGCAAGACAATATGTAAACAACTGGGTTATTTACATATACCTACAAGATACCTACAAGATACTACAATATGCATTGCAGATGGAAAGCACTCATGAGGTAGAAGGCATTAGAGTTGGGGTAGAGGTGGTGCTGGAACCAGGAAAGATCTTCTAGAGTAGGTAGGGTTTGATCTGAGTTTTGAAGGAAGATAGAGAAACTAAGAGGCAGAGGTGAGGCAGTATTCTAAGCATAGGGGATAATTAGTGAAAAGACATGGAAAAAGGAACCAAAAATAGGTCAATGTTGCTGGAACATAGAGTATATGAAGAAGAATAAAGTATAAGAGGACTGGAAAGGTAGGAAAAGGTCAGCTTATTAAGAGCTTTAACTATCAAACAGAAGAGCTTATACTTGATCTTAGGGGGACTAGGTAGCCCCTGGAATTTGACAAACAGGGACAGAGATGACCTGGTCAGACCTGTGCTTTAGAAAAATCACCTCCAAAGCTGAATAGAAGATAGATTGGAGCAGGGAGAGACTTGAGGGAGAATTGGGCTATTGCAATAGTCATTCCCCAATTAATAAATTGTCAGAAGATATGAACAAACAGTTTTCGAAGGAAGAACTCTAAACTGTCAATAGCCATATGAAAACTGCTTCAATTCACTGATAATTAGAGAAGTCAAATTAAAGCAACTATGAGGTCCCACCCCATACTCACCATATCGACAAAGCTGACAAAAAGGAATGTGACAAATATTCAAAGGGGTGTGAGAAAAATAGGCACATTGATACCTTATTGGGTCCAGCCATTTCTGGAAAGCAATTTGGAACTATCTCCCCAAGTCACTAATGCATCAATACCACTATTTGGTGTAAGTATCCATAGCGATAAAAAGAAGGAAATATTTATATAAGAATGATTAATTATTAATATACAGTACTTTTTTGTGGTGGCAAAGAATTGAAAAACTAAGAGGGTGGCCATTAATTAAGGAATGGTTCAACAAATGTTGGTATATGACTGTAAGGGAATACTATTGTGCTGTTAGAGATGAAGAAGATAAGCCTTCTGAGAAATCTAGGATCACTTATATGAAATGATGCATAGTGAAGGGAACAGAACCAGGAGAACTGTTTATACAATAACAATATTATAAAGACAAACAGCTTTGAAAGACTTAAGAACTCTGATCAATGCAATGATTCTGTGATTCCAGAAACCAGATCATGAAGTATGTTAAACACCTGCTAACAGAGAAGTGACAGACTCAGAATACAGAATGATTTGTAAGAAGCAGCTACTGCTTTGTCAACCCCATAGTTCAGATGCCTTTTTTCTTTCTTTTTTTCCCCTTTGGAATATAATACAGGAAGGTGACTTTACCTTCCTTAAATGTCAAGAATCCCAGAGAAAGACCTGGCTATTTGGGGGATAGTTGATGGATATAGAAAGGACTTTTATAAAAGTTTTGCATTCGTATTCTCAGTGCTAGTTTTAGGCTGCTAAAGTGGATTCTAATAATATTGTTTGTAACTTTAACAAAGCCAAATCAGTTGCCTAGAAACTAAGAATCATTCTAATATTTGTGGTAGATGTTATCTACATCATTATGTACCAGACTGTCCTACTACATGGGTTGGGCTAATTAATTTGCCTTCGAAAGTATTGAAACCCTTTTGTTGTTCTTCAGTCGTTTCAGTCCTGTCCAATTCTTTGTGACACCATTTGGGGTTTTCTTTACAGAGGTACTGGAGTGGTTTGCCATTTCCTTCTCCAGCTCATTTTACGGATGAGGAAGCTGAGGCAACAGCATTAAGTGACTTGCCCAGCGTCACAGAGCTAATAAATGTCTGAGACTGGATTTG